ACAATGTAATTGATAAAAGTCAGTCAAGGAACCCTTTTAAAGCAAACATTATGCAGAATCCTTAGAGAAAATGACAAAAGCCTGAACCTCTTGTCACTATCTTAAAGAAATTTATGCTCTGAACAGTTCAACATTTACTTTTTCAGATGTGATTATAAACTAAAATAGCTTCCCAGGTGGCGCTAGTGGGAAAGAACCCACCTGCCAATGCTAGAGATGTAAGAGATGCAGGTTCGATCCCTGGGTTGGGAAGATCGGGCTTCCCTTGTAGATCAGTCGGTAAAGAATCTGCCTGCAATGCAGGAGACTGGGTTTGATTCCTGGGTTGGGAAGATCCTCTGGAGAAGGAAATGGGAACCCACTCCAGTATTTTTGCCTGGAGAATCTCATGGACAGAGGAGCTGGGCAGGCTACAGTCCATGAAGTTGCAAGAGTCGGAAACAACTTGGCAACTAAACCACCACCATAAACTAAAATGACTCCATGAGCCTCCTGTTAAACAGATTCCCCTGGTAAGCCTTTAGGTTTCCTGCGTGGCTCAGTGGCAAAGAATCCTCCTGCCAATGCAGGAGACATGGGTCCAACCCCTGAGTCAGGAAGAAAAGGAAATGGCAACCCACTCCAGTACTCTTGCCTGGGAAATTCCATGGACAGAGGAGCTTGGCAGGCTACAGTCTGTGGAGTCTCAAAGAGTCAGACATGACTTAGCAACTAAATAACAACAGTAAGTCTTTTAAGAGCAGAAAATGTATGTACATATTATGTGCAATTAAAATTTAATTCCCTGTACTATGCCAGTGTCTACTATTCTCTTTTATTTAAATATTAAAATGCTTATATTTAAATTGATGAAAGTTACAGAAACATGCATTTTTCTTAACAGCAAATGAAACTCTGCATTGCAGTCTGTCTGCTTATCCATAATTCAGGATCCCAGACTAAAACATTAAGCCCAAACAAGCACAAATATTGGCAAAGGTGAAATACTGAACTGCTCCAGTAGGAGCTAATTTATGTCACAATCTGTGTGTGTGCTTTAATTTCCTAGCACTGGAAACAAAAACTAAAACAAAAAAAACAGACAACAATTATGAGTGTAAACTAAATAAGTAAGAGAGAAAAGTGAAGGTGTCATTATTCAGACCTCCATACTTTTTATTAGTTATTCATGGAGCTGATATGACAATAAAACCCAAGAGAGGGGGGGAAAAAAAAACAAAATTTAGTTACGTGGGTTATCTATCCAGGGAAAGTAACAAGGATTCTAGAAGAATGTTCTTATGGATTTGAACTTTGAAAATACTAGTAGTAACTCTGATGCTATTTAAGTTAATAGAAATAAAAGAGCATATGATAAAAGAGTTGTGTCTCACTCTTTGCGAGCCCATGGACTATAACCTGCCAGGCTCTTCTGCCCATGGGATTCTCCAGGCAAGCATACTGGAACAGGTAGCCATTCTCTTCTCCAGGGGATCTTCCCGACCCAGGGACTGAACCCGGGTCTACCACACTGCAGGCAGATTCTTTACCATCTGAGTCACCAGGGAAACCCAAAAGAAATTTACTTTTCTTCAAAGAAATTTCACCCATTTGTCTTAATTATCTGGGCAATAATGGCAGCCCCCACCCCCCCGGTTATTATTAGGATCTTGATCACTGGTTTGGAGATTCTAACAGGCAAGAACAGTTACTCAGTACCCCTGGAGGAAGACAGGTCTCCTCCATCAGGGGAGGCTGACTCTTGTCTGGGCTCAGAGCAACAGTAGAACGCAGTGAGAGCTGAGATGAGGAGGAGACCTCTCCACTGAATCAGCAGAATTAACCCAGGAGATCAGTAGGTTAGCAGAGAAGTCCTCCTGATCAACTTTCCTTCCACCTCTGCCATTTGGCTTCCACTAATGCAGGTGAGATGCATAGCATTTTGTAGCTGAGCAGACCTTACATTTCGCTGTCACCAATTAACCTATTTTATGAAGTACTTGATGCTAAAAGTTAATGATACCTAGTGCAAAGGAATTTTCTCTCCTGAATTGTTAAGATTTACTCTTCCAAATGTGTCAGGTACCCTTAAGACATGTTATAACCTTTCTTATACTACAAAAGAAAAAAAAAATTATACAGCAAGTATAGTCCATTATGTAATACAATGACTAGCTTTATACAGTACAGACTATATTAAAAAGTTAACATTCCTCCCCAAATTTGTGTGATGAGCCCAATGTGTGACAAACTGTTAGACTTGCATCTTCTCAGCCAATTTTCTTCCACGACTACTGGGACAGTTTGTCATGTGACAGTGTTCGTAGCTTCAAAAGCACTTTTGTCTTTTATTTCACGGAGCTTGACAACAATCGTGAGAGGGCAAAGCAAGGTGAAAACAGTCCACCTTTTGCAAGTGGGCTCCCTAGATGTGAATTAGGACATTTATCATCACAGGCGTAGGGTGGGGTGAGGGTGGGGCTCCAGGACTTTCCCACACTTCACTCACCTCTCAAGAAAAACCACTTATGGCCCCATCCACAAGAACAAACAAAACATTGAGGCATGGTACCCTTCTCTCTCCTCTCACCCCTAAACACTACTTGATTAAATATTTCTACTGAAGCACAGTCAGTACACAATGTTATATATTATACGTATATAATATGGTGACTCACAGTTTTTAAAGGTGATACTCCATCTTTCTCTTGGGAGAGACTGCCTGTGGGTTTTGCTCTGGTGGGCAGGGACATGCTCCGTAAATCCAATTTTCTGCTGCTGGCTGGGGCTGTGCTCTCTCCCTGTAGTTTGGCCTGAGGCAGCCCAGTCCTGGAGTCTGCAGACTCTAGGGCTAATGCTGGCCTCCTTTAAGAGGACTTATGCCAACACATCACGCCTCCCAAGATCACTGCTGCCAAGCCCCTGACCCCAGTTTGGACAGTGGCAGGCCACTGTCGACTCCATCCATAGCTATCATAAAGCACTGGCTAATTTCCCTGTGGGCTACAATACATCCTTGTAGATTTCTTATTTTCTACATAGCAGTTTGTAGCTTTTACTCTCCTGGCTCTATACTGCCCCTCCCCTCTGCCTTCTCCCCACTGGTAACCACTAGTTCGCTCTCTATATCTGTGAGTCTTTTTTGTTATATCCATAGTCTGTTGCAGTTGTTTAGATCCCACGTATAAGTAATATCCTATAGCATTTGTCTTTCTCTGGCTGATTTATTTCACTTAGCATAATGCCCTCCAAGTTCATTCTTGTTGCTACACTACAAAAAGCAAATAAAATAAAACACCGAGGTATGTATTTTTTTTCTCCTCTCATCCCCAACCACTACCTTAATAAAAGAACTTTCATTCAAACCAAAGTAAGTATAAAGAGCTAGCATGTTCATAGGACCACAATCTGATTCTGAATCAAGTGTTTTGAAATGTATTATCTACAACTTTCCATTGTTGTCAATATGTATCTTATCCAGAGAAATTTCACATTTAATCACTCAAAGGATAATCTGCTTTATTACCTAATTATCTTCCTCACACTTTTGCTTATCAATCCATCATTTTGAAGCTGAGGTTACTGAGGCAGAAAATGGTTCAGTCCTTTGCATCCATGCAGACATAGACAGTGGACTGGAACTCCAAGTTCAGTGTTCCATCCGCCCAAGAAAAGATACACAACTTAAACTGCAGATTCTTGGCAATGGACAGACCCAAGCGGAGGTTTATTCAGCCTCCAGAGGAGGTTTCTGCACATACTAAGCAATGATCAGTCTTTCAGCCAACCAGCTTCTTTCCAGCAGGACAAGGGGGATTTTTCAATAATCAACGTGAAACAAGGGCCACTTGCACCGATGCATCACAAATCAGCCCAGGCAAATGCGGGTTGGGGGGTCACACGACTGCATCTGACTGCTTCAGTCAGATTGCTGGTCTCTGTCCAGGCAAGGAAGACAGTCAACTCCACTGATCACCGGATTTTCTATAACTGGAAGCATGTACCAGGCCACTAACACCCAGATGCAGTAGTTCGGTCTGTATTTGAAAGTCAGAAGTGCCCAACTGGAAATGACACAATGCACATTAAATGCATTACTAGCAAGGAAAGTCAGGCTTTCCCACTTAATGAGATGGCTATGGTGCCAAACCACATGCTCACTGGCTGGAGACACTAGAAAACCTAAAAGCCGAGCTACTGCATTATGTTTGAGCTCCCTCGACAAAGATTAGAGCAAAACCTTGCTAAGTATGGGTATTTTTATATCCTAAAAATAGCCACGTGAAGCCTGAGAGAAGGGATGACTGTGACAAAGCAGCAGTATTTTTATATATGCGTACATGATTTTCTTAATGATTCCAGGAATACACATATTAAAGAAAATGCAGAATTAGACATTCATCTATCAGCTGCCATAACATTTCACTGCTAACTCTCTTCTATAAAGCAGTTTGCTGTCCAAGAAAGAACACAGGTAAGGGACGTGGTTCCAGTCCATCCAGGGCTACTAGTCATTAACCTCATCACATCCCGTGACCACTCTGGATCACTCTGTCTCTTTTTACTTACAGACTTTCTAAATATCTAAGAGATTTTTCCCTGGGATAAGTGAACCACTTGACTTTAGCACATTGTTAACTGTTCACCACAGTCATGATATCCTTATCAGGGCCTTGTCATGGCGCTGCATCTTCATCACTATTTGAAGGACAGTTTGCCAATAACTCGGAATTCCCACATGGACACTGGTCTAAGAGCCATTAAGGTCACACTCATCCAGACACAAAACCAAAACAGGAGCTTTGTCTTTTTTTCTACTTAAAGAAGACGGCATCTTAAAATTGCGTGGATACTAGTCTGAAAACACTAGGATAAAAGACATCATTGTTATTCCCTTGCTGCAGTTCCATAAAATTGAATAAAAAGGCAAGCAAATTTGGAAAGAATCTGAGCTAAGTCAGTACTGCAAATTTAGAGCCGCTAATAAAATAAAACCAAAAGCCCTCGAAGCATTTTCTTACCTTGCAGCCTTTGCATCACGTTGGCGATGTCCCGAGGGGCCCGCGAGGCGGCCCTGGAGGCGGCCATGGCTGCCCCTAAGAGTGGAACCGCTGCTGCGGCCCTAGACCACTCCAGAAAGCATACTTGAAATTCTCCAGTTCTTTCAAGTGACAGACGATTGCCGAGTCCCAGGCACTCACAGCAGTCCTGGAGTTAGTCTCCCAGAGGTCCAGCCACTTCTTTTTCTTCTCTTGCTTTAAGACTGTCTCCTTAAATGAACTCAGGATCCTGAAAACCAAATAGAAAAGGTGCAATATTTAAAACAAAAAATCAATACAGGTCACCCAAGTGCAAAAATGTAGAGCTATATTTATTCAATTTGAAGAGATGATTCATTACCAAGTGAAATAACTAATGTAAAAATACTTAAAAATCTATAAAGTGGTAGGCAAATATGAGGGCTTCCTAGGTGGCTCAATGCTAAAGAATCTTGCCAATGCAGGAGATGCAAGAGGTGCAGGTTCAATCCCTGAGTTGGGATGATCCCCTGGAGTAGGAAATGGCAAGCCACTCCAGTATTCTTGCCTGGAAAATTCCACAGACAGAGGAGTCTGGCAGGCTGCAGTCCATGGGGTCTCAAAGACTTGGACCCTACTGAGCACAGCATAGCACAGGTCAAGTGTGAGAAATTCCCATGATGCTTGATAAAGTAAACAAATACTTGAAACATACACAATAAATCTGGCTGCTAAAAGAAGTGCTCACTTTTTTCCATGTTTTCTTTTTAAACTAGTCTTTTTTTTTTTTCTTTTTTTACCAATCTATGAAATTAAAAGTACTTTTAGCCAAAACACCAAATATTTCTCAATATCCACAAGTTCTCTTATCTGGGCTATTTTAGCCAGCTTTGCACACTTGTTTTGTTTGACACTTTTCAGGAATGAGATCAGACCTTAGCTCCTAAAATTTGATGAACTGAAACAGGATAAATATAAAACTTGCTGTTCAATTGCTAAGTCCTGTCTGACTCTTTGTGACCCCATGAACTGCAGCACTCCAGGCCTCCTTGTTGAGTTTGAGATTCTGTCATTTAAGAAGACAAATGGGTTTGATTTAGCTTTTCCTTCCCCTTAGGAAGATTCTAAAGTAAATTGTAAGGCTGTGGTGGGGTAGGGTGCCAAGCAAGAGAGGACAATTTTCTTCTAACCTCTTCCTGAATTCTCTGCTTTGGTCGAGTTTAATTCATCATGTTGGACTGGGGAAGTAAAAAAAGAAGTAGGAGAGCAGTTGATGAAATCCTGACATTGAGACATGTGCTTTGAACAAGGATTTCCTAACCCTGCTGGTGCTGCTAAGTCGCTTCAGTCGTGTCCGACTCTGTGCGACCCCATAGACAGCAGCCCACTAGCCTCCTCCATCCCTGGGATTCTCCAGGCAAGAACACTGGAGCGGGTTGCCATTTTCTTCTCCAATGCATGCATGCATGCTAAGTCGCTTCAGTCGTGTCTGACTCTGTGTGACACTATGGACAGCAGCCCTCCAGGCTCCTCTGTCCACAGGATTCTCCAGGTAAGAATACTGGAGCGGGTTGCCATTTCCTCTCCCTTCCTAACCCTGGGGTTGACTGAAGAAGAGGTCTTGCGATGAAAATGATAATTAATGACAGAAAGAGAAAGAGTGTGAAAAATGCACACAGAGAAAGAAATTTAACCAAGACGCCAAACCAGGGGGCCGATGTGAACATGACACTTTTACAATTCATACTCATCTCTGGGCTATGATGATGAAGGTGAAGAAAGGAAATAGGGTGTGGCAGGGGAGAAGGGCAAAAAGAAAACTAAAGAAAACACAGTTCCTCTGTGTGGGCTGGTCCACTTTTAGCAAGGAAATAAGAAGAGTCTGTGAGGGCAATCAAACATCATGACGTAAACGTGTGGTCATAAAACCTGCCATATTTATGAAGAGTTGGTTAAGTAATACAGTGTAATTACAGATTACAATGGCTTTTTAAAATGGCATTAATACTCTGAACATGACACTTTTACAATTCATACTCGTCTCTGGGCTATGATGATGAAGGTGAAAAAAGGAAGTAGGGTGTGGCAGGGGAGAAGGGCAAAAAGAAAACTGTAAAGAAAACACAGTTCCTCTGTGTGGGATGGTCCACTTTTAGCAAGGAAATAAGAAGAGTCTGTGAGGGCAATCAAACATCGTGACGTAAACATGTGGTCATAAAACCTGCCATATTTATGAAGAGTTGGTTAAGTAATACAGTGTAATTACAGATTACAATGGCTTTTTAAAATGGCATTAATACTCGTATATACAGGTACCTGGCTGAATTGTGTGAATAAGCTGAGAGCATCGTTTTTAGACCACCACTTTAAAAAGGATATAAAACACTGCACCCTGCTGCTACCTTGCACATTTCTGGGGCCAGAAAGGGTGTACCGGTCATCTAACAAGTTAGGGGGCTGCGGTGCAGTGAACAGCATTACCTCATAAGAAGGTAAAGACAGATTTCTCTTGGCTACTTGCAAAAATACTGGAAGTAGGACCCAATATCTTGCAGCTTCTGAGCTAGAGAGGTTCCTGTGTGTGGGAAGCTCCCCCAGGGATTCTTACAGAAGAAATAATTACTACCAGCCAGCCCTCATCCATCAAGATCTTAGTCCTGCTGGAGCCGTGTGGCCATTACTAGCATCCATGTCCTGGGGAAAAGCATTCTACCAGCCTACATACCAAAGCTACCTTAATTTGAAGACTGATGGACAGTGATCAATGCCTGAAGGATCTTACAAATGGCTTTCCTAAGCTGTTACAAATTAAGGTTCTCCAAATACAAGATAATAACTTTCTGAAGTCTAGCTAGCTAGCTACAGATATACTAGGTAGAAATGAGGGAAGAATTCATTTTAATTTAGCTACCCCACACCAGGCCCTACTCAGCACTGGATTTCACAGATGATTAAGACAAGGCCCCTACTACCATCAATCAAGAATTAGAGAATTAAAAAGGGATTTCTTTATGCCATTGCCTTACAGATCACCATGCTCCTATCTCTTCCAGATCATGTTCATCTTCTCAATAGAGTGATACTGAAATAGCTCCTCTCTCCCTCACTCTCTTGGATTTCTTTATGCCATTTGCCTTACAGATCACCATGCTCCTATCTCTTCCAGATCATGTTCATCTTCTCAATAGAGTGATACTGAAATAGCTCCTCTCTCCCTCACTCTCTCTGTCTCTCTCTTTATTTTGATACCACATTAGACTCAAAGCAAAGTTTAAAGCAAAGAGGAACTAAAAAGCTTCTTGATGAGGTGAAAAAGGAGAGTGAAAAGCTGGCTTAAAACTCAACATTCAAAAAACTAAGATCACAGCATCCAGTCCCATCACTTCTTGACAAACAGAAGGGGGAAAAATGGAAACAGTGACAGACTTTCTTTTCCTGAGCTCTAAAATCACAGTGGACCATGACTGCAGCCATGAAATTAAAAGACGCTTGCTCCTTGGAAGAAAAACTATGGCAAACCTAGACAGTGTATTAAAAAGCAGAGACATCACTTTGTCAGCAAAGGTCCATATAGTCAAAGCTATGGTTTTTCTGGTAGTTATGTAGGCATGTGAGAGCTGGACAATAAAGAAGGCTGAGTGATAAAGAATTGATGCTTCTGAACTGTGGTGTTGGAGAAGACTCTTGAGAGTTCCTTGGACTGCAAGGAGATCAAACCAGTCTATCCTAAAGGAAATCGACCTTGAATATTCATTGGAAAGACTGTTGCTGAAGTTGATGCTCCAATACTTTGGCCACCTGATGCAAAGAACTGATTCACTGGAAAAGACCCTGATACTGGGAAAGATTGAGGGCAAGAGGAGAAGGGGGCAACAAAGGATGAGATGGTTGGATGGCATCACTGACTCAATGGACATTAGTTTGAGCAAACTCCAGGAGACAGTGAAAGACAAGGAAGCCTGGCATGCTGCAGTCCATGGGGTCACAAAGAGTTGGATATGACTTAGCAACTGAACAACAACATTAAGCTCAGAATTTCTCTGTTTGAGTCCAACTTTAGTTGATGTACCTGGTCTTACTTCCACAGTATAACTAATGCATTCTGAGTGTCAGGGTTCAGTGCTAGCGAAACAGGATGAATATGACACATAGCGTATTACTTGAGGAACTTAGAAACATAGAAAAGATAACAAAACAAAAAACCACGTCTAAGTGCAAATACAGAAATGAGGGATACAAAGGATGGACACTAAACCAATCTGGAGGTTCTGAGAGTGTCCTGGGAGGGAACAGCTTCTGCCCTGGGCCTTGGTAAGGGTATTAGAGTTAATCAGGTGAAAACTATGGGATGCATTCCAAGCAGAATGAATAACTTGAGCAAAGACATGGACATAGGAGACATCTTGACCAACAGCCAGATAGTGAGGGACTCGACCAGGTGACATTCTGGAGCTAAGGCTGGAGAAGGAGGGAGCAGCCAGATGGCTGAGTGCTCTGCTCAGAAGTAGGTTCTGAGTCCCCAGGAGGCAGCAGGAAACCCCAAGGGATTTTAAGCTGGAAGTGATCACACATGCAATTTAGATTATTCTGGCTACATTTTTAAAGGGTGTATTTGAGGTTGACAACACAAAGTTCCAGGAAGATCAGCTGGGAAGGCAGCTCAGTTGGAACATGATGAGAGACTGTACGGGACAGTGAATGGATGGAGGGTAAAAATCCAAGGAAATCTGAAGGAGGCAAGATATGCAGGACTTGGTGATTGGTGGGGGAGGGGAGAAGGGAAGTGGGAGGTGGGGCCGTCAGGGGATCTGGAGGACTCTCAGGGTTCTGACTTGAGATTCTGTGTGGGCCATGGTGCCATGGACTGAGATCAGCACCAGAGCAACTATGTAGGCTATTATTTCTCCAAACTCTGCCTTTCATACCCTCACATCCTTGCTGAACAGTTTCTTAATAACTCCTTCACATTCTCAGCTAATCTAACCCAAAGGCTTGCTGGACCCAGGACCCACACTGTGTGAAGCCACACCCAGCCACAGAACAATTTCATCAACTCCCTCCATTCCTTCCACACCAACAATCCACACTCTGATAAGCACGATTCATCTCACATCCCTGACCAATTAGTCTTGTCTCTGTCTAACCAGACTGTGAATTTTTCAGAGGCACAGAGATTACAACTATTATTGCTTTGCCATCCCACCCACTGATATTAACTAAATCCCTGAACGCATCCAAGCCCTTCAAACACATTTCTGTTTTATTGAACAACCTTCACATTACTTTACCTCTGCAGGGCAACCCCCAGAAAACTCATTCCTCCCCACAGCAAAAGACGTTGATGCAACATCCTTCCCCTTTTGGGCATGAGATTAAATATTCTGCTTTCATCATTCATGTACACACATATTTCCTATTTTGGGAAATTCTGATATCTTGCTCTTTGAAGTGAAGTGAAGTCGCTCAGTCATGTCCGACTCTGTGACTCCATGGACTGTAGCCTACCAGGCTCCTCAATCGACAGTCCATGGAGTTTTTCAGGCAAGAGTACTGGATTGGGTTGCCATTTCCATCTCCAGGGGATCTTCCCGACCCAGGGATCGAAAGGGAAAAATATGTCCCTTGAATTTGATAAGAAATTTCAAACAGATCAAACAGTGATCATAAAAGGAGGTTTTTACAAGATATGTGCTCGGAAGGTTAGAAGACATGGGTTTAGACTTAGCTTTGTTCTGACTGGACTTCCCTGGCGGCTCAGACTGTAAAGAGTCTGCCTGCAAGGCAGGAGACCCGGGTTTAATCCCTGGGTTGGGAAGATCCCCTGGAGAAGGGAATGGCAACCCATCCAGTATTCTTGCCTGGAGAATTTCTGGGACAGAGGCAACAATCCATGGGATCCCATAGAGTCAGACACAACTGAGTGACTAACACTTTGTTCTGACAATCAGGATGACTCTGAGCTGCTTCGGTGTAAGGAGGTTCTCAGCAACGTCCTCAACAACCCCCTGACATGTGGAGGATGGTCCCCAGAAAGGCACAGACTCTAGACTAAAAAGACATGGAAGTGACTCTTAATTCTGCCTCTACCTGTCCATGTGGGCATGACCTACAGAACTAGAACATCAGAGGAAGGTCCAGCCCCATGAGTGAGCTCACTACTCCCAGGGTAATTAACAGTTTTTAATTGGGTGCAATACACTGTAGGGGGTAGGGGAGGAAGAGGCAGAAAGGGATGTGAAGGGAGAATTAGAGAGACATTGATGGGTCATGGACAAACTAGCAGTCTTGGGACCACCTCCAAATCCTCTCCAGAGAAGGAACTAAGATTACAAAGTGGCAAGCAACATCCACTATACCTAGCAGAGAGGTGAGATTCCTGTATTTATGATTTCATACAGAAATGCATTGAGAATTCACATGTAAGGGACACACTAGTACTGGGTAAATAGCAGTAAACAAGATAGATAAGCCCCCTTAGAGTTTGTGTACCAGAGGGAAAGATGATATAAACAGTATTACAACAAAGTAGGTCATGTATTGTAATGGAAAAATGCAGGGTACTGTGGGAGCAAAGAGAACATCCAATCAATACCATCTGCTGCATTTATTGTGTAGGCTACAGAGGGAATTTAGACTATCTGCTATCTGGGATCCTCCTGTCTGAACAATGGGCTCTTCTTAACCCCCACACCTGTGAAAAGCACAGGAGTGAATCATCACAACTTGACTTTTCCAGTCTCTAAGCAGAATGGACAACTGACTGCTAAAGCAGTCTCCTGTTTGTGCTATTAAAAAAGAATTCAGTATCATCCCTGAATATTCACTGGAAGGACTGATGCTGAAGCTGAAGTTCCAATACTTTGGCCACCTGATAAGACAAGCCAGCTCATTAGAAAAGACCCTGATGCTGGGAAGGATTAAAGGCAAAAAGAGAAGGGGGAGGCAGAGGATGAGATGGCTAGATAGCATCACCAACTCAATGGACATGAATTTGAGCAAACTCGGGGAGACACAGAAGGACAGAGGAGCCTGGCCTACCAAAATTCATGGGGTCACAAAGAGTCGGACACAACTTAGCAATTGAACAACAACACTAGAAGAAACACTGCTAAGCCACAAGACTATATCTTCAAGCAATGTAACAAGTTTTTAAGTATTAGGAAACTACAGCAGAAAGTTACAACCTCTACAACAACCAGAAATGATATGGCTCATTTCTAGGTAAAAAAGATGAACTGAGACCATAAAAACCTACATAGGTTCACAGCTGTACGTAGCAGCACTTCATTAGATGTCTCAACATGTGCAACAGCACTCCCGTTAAAATCCACTATTAAACAAAATTTTAAACCCTAATGAATACATTTTAACACCCCCTTCTAGCAGTCCTTAGCCGAGTGAGTCACATAGTGTCTTATTTTACATTTAATTATTGTTTTTCTCTCTGCATCCTTTAGCTATGATACTAATTAATGAATACCAAGACAGCTAAATGGCAGGGCAAAAGAGGGATATCCTGTAGTTACTAGAAATATATTACTAACATCTGTATACTGGCTATCAGTGTGTGGTGCTGGTAATTATTCACTGTTATGAATGTTGCACCTCCCCCCAAGATGGCACAGTGGTAAAGAATCTGCCTGCCAGTATCGGGGGATGTGGGTTTGATCCCTGGGCTGGGAAGATCTCTGGAGAAGGAAATGGCAACCCACTGCACTATTCTTGCCTGGAGAATCCCATGGACAGAGGAGTCCACTGAGTTGCAAAGAATCGAACTCAACCGAGCACCCATGACCCATGAATGTTATAAGGGTAACAAATAAAAATTGGTCCTGTCCTTGGAAGAACAAAAATATGCAGAAATAACTAAAAAAAAAAAAAAAGTACAGAGCTGATGTGCATGACAGATACTGTGTCGTGATTGAACTTTTTTCGGTCAGCCTGGAGCGTAAATCCCGTCCAGAGATATCTGCTGCCTTCCTCCCGGGCTTGGCTAGAGTCTAGACTGCACTTGGCGCCGAATAGAAGTTCTCACTGGTTTAGAGCACAAGGAAGGCTACATTTGACGCTTCTAAGAGAAGATAAGCAGATTTCCTCAAAGGGGAGTCTTGAGTCCTGCATGACTGCAGCTCAGCCCACAGGGTGTGGCTGCAGTCTCGAGGCTGGTGGCGCCTGCCCTGCGGGAGAAATTGTCACCAGCCTTGCCCACTCATGGGCTTCTTACATCCGGTTTCAGTGACACCTCCCTTCACCTCCAAGCAGCTGTGTGGGCTGCATAATTATCAGAAATCAGGTCTTACTGCAGCACCCTCTCCACTGAACACAGCAATTCTTGAACATTTTTAAACAGCAAACCACCTTTTCCCAATCCTTACTCCTTTGCAGAGAAGAATCAAGTGGGGAAAAAAAAATCTTACAACAAAAAAGAAATAAATCATTTTGTGAAGAAATCAGTAGTTAAGACAGATAAAAAGCGAAGCTCTAATGTAGAAACTGTGCAAGTATTTCCGAGGGCTAGCAATATTATTATCTGAGTCAGTCTGAGGCTGTGCCTTTATCTTCAGTGTGAAATAAATATATTCAGTCAGCATTGATCGGGCACTTTTGTTCTCAATTTGCCACAGAGTAATAAACAGACTCAAAAATGCAAGGCAAAATAGCAATGTTGTTTTATGACACCTTTCTGGTGATGTCAGGAACTTTTTATCCATCCTATTAATCTTCTTCCTCATGGAGAACAGCAAGCCTCTCCAAGAACAATTCTCATGACTCATGGTTAAGTCAGCATTTTATACAGATGGGGGTCATATTAACAACCTTTGCTTAGTCAAAAATTATCATATTTTCTTTTGCACAAGTCTGGCTCCTGAATACAAATGCTTTCTTTGGAAAAGTGGATCTCAGATGAAGACAAAAATAGACAAGCATTAAGGAAGAGGGAGGGGGAAAAATGTGCTTCAAGCCCCCGGGGCTGCGCTACCCAAGTCCCCTCCCCCAGCCCTTCCTAAAATAGTCAGTGGAGGAAGGGAGGCTCCTGGAATTTGTTCTACGCCCTACATCTCCCATCCGATAGTAGCAGCAGCCCCGATCTCTACAAGAGGGCGGCTGCCTTTTGCTTCTGCATCGCTGGACCCCAGGAGAAGTGCCACAAGCCGAAATGTCAAGTCGGGAAGGGGGGTGGATATTAATAGGGGTATCTACGTAGGAGATGCCGGCAGGACGCCCCCCATCTCCGTGTCTCCCTGAGTACCACACACGTACACACACCACCGCCACCATCACCACCTTCTCCCTCCCGTTAAGCACGCACGACCCGAGCCTGCGAGTTCAAACTTGCTTACAATCCGTCTGCAATGTGTTCGGCTGGCACCCAAAGCCTCTCTCTTACCGTCGCTGTCTCTCGCGCTCGTCCAGGTGCCGGGCAGCGCCGCGAGCGAACCCGCGGCGGCGGGGCGCGCTGGGGGCCGACGGCGGTGGCGGGAGCCGGGGCGCGCGGCTGCGGGGCTTTGCGGGGCGCCGGGCGACCCCGGTGACCGAGGACAGCACGCCGGGGGCCGCCTCCGCGGCCGGTGGCGGATCGGCCGCCGCCGCCGCCGCGCTCCCGGGCCGCTGGCACACTCACTCACTCCTGCGCCCAGCCGCTCGGCGACTCTGCCCTCCCTCGGCGAGCGGGTCCTCCTTCCGGGTGCACCCGAGGAGGAGGGGGGTTCAGGCCTCTCTCCACGACCCGCCACCCCCCCGCACCCCCCCGCACTGGGGTTCGGCTAGGGAAGGTCGGGGAGGAGGGTTCATCCCGCGGGCAGGTTCCCGACGCGGCCCGTGCGCCGCCACGCCCCTCTGCCGGGAGCCCGGGATGCGCCGGTCCCCGGCACCGCTGGGGGCGGGCGCCCAGGCTCTCTCGCCGGCTTCCCTTACCTCCTGGAGATGCGCCGGCCGCCTCCAGCGTCTTGCTGCAGAGGCAAAGGCTTTCCGCGGCTCTCTTTCTCCGGGAGCTTTCCACCCCGTCCACCTCCCCGGGGGTCGAGGAGGAAAGAAATGGCCGAGAGCGCCGGGAAGGAGATGCTCTGCCCCGGCTGCTAACTTTTGCCTGGGATTTCCACCGCACGGCTGACCTTTCAGGGCAGAACCTGTCTTGAACGACTGGGGAGGTTCGCTGATGGTCCCAGGAAGGAAGTGATGCGGTTCACTGAGGACATTTCTCTGGCTCCTTTTCAATCAACTTTCGAAAAAGAGCCTAACGGCTGACCTCTTCCGTAGCATGCAGTTTTAGGGAGACGGGTCAGACTATACGGGCTTTTGTTCTTGTGGTTTATAAAGCTTCGATTTCCTGAGGAGACACCGACCTCTTAATGATATTTCTTCTTGGTTTTTCGTCAAGATGACGCTGGAGAACTGCTTTCAGGTTCTTCCCTCGCGCTCTCGGCGAGTCTGTCATCACAAGTCCTTCTCAAGGTGCAGAGCAGATCCTGGGGTTGCCGGGTAGCCTCCTGGAGAATTTATTTTGTTGTGGTTTTATGGTCTCCAAGCAAAGTCAAACACAACCTATCTTCACCAACAAGGAAGCCTAGGTCCGACAGGACTGTGGGCAACTCAAATAAATACAGCTATGTTGCAAGAATCTTAAAAATAATAATTACTCTCTCGAATATTCTATCTGAACAAATAGTTTTTCCCATTACCTATGTTTGCAGAATGGGAGGCTGGAACTTTTCAGTGGAGGAAGTTTTTCTTTGCCTGCTGCCTTTCCCTAGCTCGCTGTCAACACTCCAGTCTAGCTTTGCATTTCCTTCAAAGTCTTTTCTTTCTGGATTCTAACAAAATAATAATATCTGAAGTGAATCTAATGCGTTAACCTGATGTGCTGTCTTTGCTTGTGTTTACATATTTAGAGACCAACGAATGAATCTCTAATTGCAGAAACTGGTTGCGCAGGGAGTCGGGCCTGGAGGGGGTGGTGTTGGGGGTCACTCTGAACATATCCTCTGCTTCAGGGTGACACTCCGCCTGGCTGCCCAGAACACCTTGTGAGATGACCCACCGTAGCCTAATCATGCAGTTACCACCCTCTGCCTGCATATGACTGGACTGAGATCCAAGCTGCAGGCCTGTTACTCAGGAGGAGAGGATGAGAGGGTAGCTGAGCTCCTCCTTCCAGTCTGTGCTTTCATCTGACCAACTCACTCACCAACTGAAACTCCCTCCCTAGACTTAGCTGCTCTTCTCCCAGGAGCAGACCGGCAGGAGCCTAGGGCTTTCTGGCTGGCATTAGTAGCCTGATGAACTGAATGTCCACTCTCAGCTCATTTTTATCTTCCACCGAAGGACTAAGCACATCATCGACTTCTGGGAAAGGCTTGTCTTTTTTCATAAACCCCAGGGAAGTGTGTCGTAGCTTCATTATTCGACTATATTGTTCAAACACCTGCCATATTCCGAATATTGTCCTAACTGTTGGACCCACAATGGTAAATAAAACCAAACCCGGTTCCTGCCTTCACTGAGCTTCCAGTATAATCAGGAAGAGAGATATTCATCAAAAAACCATGCAAATAACTATAAAACCCCAGCTTCCAAGAGAAGGCAAATACTTTGAGAGCCTCCAAGGAAAGGAATCAATTTAGTTTAAAGATCAGAAAGACCTTGCTAAGGAAGTGACTTTTGAACAGTGAGCTGCAGGAAAAGACACATGAACTTAGAGGAAGGTAGATAGACTGGGGTCTGGAATAATGCTCCAGGGCAAAGGATCCATGGAAGAAAAGCACATGGTGCTTTTGAAGAAGTGAATACCCATGGGACTGCAGAAGAGAAGCAAGGGAGGGAACAGGAGCTTCAGGGGAAAATGGGCCCCTTGAGACTCAAAACAAAGTGAAGGGCAGATTGTGGAGGTCTTAAAAAACCAGCCCGAAGAGATGGATCATTAGGGGATGACTTTCCAGTGTTCTAAGTGGTGCAATGTGATAACACTTAAGTCTTGAGGCTTAAGGCTACAATATGGAAAACAGATTAGAAGTGGGGCCAAAATGCCTAAAGGTGGACAAGTTAGGAAGCTGTACAGTAATCTTTTAGAAAGATCATAGCCCTCATCATTACGGTGATGGTGGTGGGGAAAGTGCGTGGGTTCAAGGGATGTTTAATAGATAAAAAGTGTGTAAGACATAAGGTCGTGTGTGGCAGAAGGAAATCATAATAGTATAAAGTTAAAGTTTTGGATTTTGAAACAATAAAGTCCTGAGCTTGAGTCTCAACTTCATCATTAACTACCTGTGTGAATTTTAGCTAGTAATTTAACCTCTCACAAGCTCAGATTTTACAAAGCCATAACCAGGATTATAACAGCATATCTCACAGGGTTATTGTGGGGAGTAAACAAGCTAATATTGGCAAGATTTCATAGTTCAGAGCCTGGTGCGATCAGGAAGTGCAATATAGTTAATGCCATTTTTATAGTTATTATTGCCATGATTCTAGATGTTTCTAAAGTTGGCAAATAAAGGAAATACCGACTCTACTTCACTTTGCAGCAGGCTGACTGGACTGACTGCAGCTAGAACACCAGTTTCTGAGAGCAGCAAAATAGAACCCATGGGGCCATCACAGGCTGAGAGACAGCAGTCTGGGTAGCAACTTGATTTCCTCCTCCATGGAGCTCAAGGTCTGTCCTCCTCATCTGTCTATTCTTCAGACCCTCTAAGTTTACACAGAATCCTATTCCTAAGCATCATGGCAGCAGGGCCCCCAATACCTCTTCCCTGCATTAATAGGAGGTGGAAAATAACAGCAAAAAAGTGCCAACTGGTTTCAGTTCAGAGTTATCCCAGTGGCTGCATCACTGTGTTCCCTGTATTTGTAAAATAAACCCGAATGGCCAAATGAAGTCAACAGTGAATCCCTTACATGGCTATCCTTTCCCTTTTATGTAATTGTGTTAGTACCATGCAAAGATTTACCACAATTAAATATGTTGTCGATTTATTGAAAGCAGCAACCCAGGGTCTTACCAGAGGTACATCTTTCAGAGATGTGCACAAGTGAAATTCAATAAGCAGGCCTCTTCTTCCACCTGCTTCCATTAGTCTTAAGTCCCTTCAAAACAAACTTCTATGCATAGTGCAGGGAAACAGTAAACAAAACGGCTCTTGCTTCTTAAAGGTAAAAGGGCTTTGCTTGTCTTGATGCGGTCAGTAATGCTCTGCTTGGGTTAGGCAGCCTCTTAATGGTAATTGCCTCTGTGGAATCACTACAGTCTGCTAAGAAGAGGGGAAGGGCAGACGGGGAAGGGGGAAGGGGTTCACCTGAAGGAAAGCTCAGGAGGGTTTGGGGACCAAAGAACTAGGATTCAACCAAATCTGCCAAAATGTCCCTTTTGCAGTTTTCAACAAGGGCCTTCACTTTCACTTGAGAGGCCTAGCAAGGCTTTGAACTCACTTTACATTATAAATTTTCAAGCTGCAGCAAATTTAGGTCTGTCTGATTTTTTGCTCTTCCAGCATTGTAATAACTGCAAGGGTAAGAGTTCTAGAAGCTACCTGGCCTCTGACCATGCCTTGATCTACGACTGTAAAGTTTCTAAACTTGTCTTTTTCTTTTCTTTATGGTCTTCATTGTCAGAAGTAGCTGACACATCCCATAGTTCTCTTTCCTACTGTAAGATTCCTCAACAGTAGCCAAATTGATCTCCAAATTCTCATCTTCAGTAGGCCCTTAATTTCCAGTGTTAATTTCTTCCCCACTCCTTGTGATGTCTCTTTAGAATTCTTTTGTTCAGTGGAATCATATGGTCCTTCATCCCTGTATGTGAACCCAGGCAGGTCAACTAACCAGTTTGCGATTCTCACCTTTGAGGGTCTGGAGCATGGCATGGCATGAAATAGTGTATCAGCCGGGATTCACTAAAGAGAAGTCAAAGCAGCTTGAGGTTTTGAAGCAGGGATTTAGTTGTTCAAAATTTTTGCTAAGGCTGGGTGAGGTGAAGTTGCTCAGTCGTGTCTGACTCTTTGTGATCTCATGGACGGTAGCCCCCCAGGCTCCTCTGTCCATGGAATTTTCCAGGCAAGAGTACTGGGGCGGCTTGCCATTTCCTTCTCCTTCCTTCGTCTCCTTCCTTCGCCTGCCATTGCAGGCGCCATTCAGACCTCGGTGACTCACTGCTGCCACCTGGAGGTCAAGGTCCTGCAACAAACGGCTAGCCGCATCAGCGGCCGCTGCTCTGCCTCCTGGTGATGGAGCTTGATGTCAATCACTGCAGAACTACTGTCTTAGCTGCTGGACCGCCAATTTCTCCACCTTCCCTTTGCCTTCCAAGTCTCCTGTGAGAGCACTGGCAGAATGTATGTTTCATCCACTCCACTCTTCCCCAGGAAAGAGCCTGGGAAATGTAATCCCCAGACTTCCAACCTCTGAGATGCAGGGAGAGTGCATAGAATGGATAGCGAAGATTGTTTTCCAACAAACAGTATTCAGCACAAACACAGACTTGGAGAGAAAAGCAAACTTGTATTTAAATTATAACTTCATAGAAACTCCAGTTTAAAATATTGAGTCTTTTAAATCTGTTAACTCTCATATTGATAGTATTTTAGACTTTCAAGAGCTACAATTTTAAGACTGTTTTTTAAAAGAACACAAAAAATAGCATATCTGACGAATTTTAAGATGACATCTACCCAGTGTAATCTTGTCACTTTCTCCCCATTCTTCCTTCAAGAGCTGTTCTTAGATCAGTGTTGTCTCTCTCCTGCTTTAGCCATACACTCCCATGATCATGGCCTTGGTTTTGTCATTATCAATAATAGCAATCATTTGATACTGATAATCTGAGTGTTAACGCTCCACTCTCTGACTGCTTCCTCTTTTGTTTCCAGCCCATTTATTCTTTTGCTTCAAATCCAGTAATTCCTCAGCCAAATGGGACCTTATAGCCCCTGATAAGGCCACTGCCAGCCCTTATGATGATTTTGTATTAGAGAGGGAGCCTTCCTCAAGATGTTTCAGTTCATTCTTTTGCAGACTGTTGTAACAGGCCATTTTTTAAGAGGTAAAACCATTACTGTTTGCAGCTGACATGATACTACAGATAGAAAATCCTAAAGAGACTACCAAAAAACTGTTAGAACCAGTTCCATGCCAAAGAATCAAACTAGAATACTATTTGCACACCATATACAAAAATAAATTCAAAATGGATTGAAGACTTAAATGTAAGACCCAA